CTAAACTCAGATTATCCCAAAACAAAATTCACTCATCTAGATCTGAAATTGAAGTCATAGTATTTTCACCATTGTTTCAACCATTTTTCACCTTCTGATCATTCTAATTTTTCAATATGTTGCTGTCTTCATCATTATCTATCTTTTTACCGTGGAAGAGCTTCCGTAACTCTTTTTCGATTTTTAGTTTTTCAAACCTTCCAACTTCTCTCTAAAAAATCTTTAACTTAAGAACCAAAACCTAGAACTTGTTAGTATTATGATGTTATTGTTGCCATTTGTCACCATTCACCACCACTAATCTTTGTCAATAGTTCCTTTTTCCTCCATTTTTTATCTCTATTTTAAAACCTAAAAATTAAAAAAAAAAATTCAAACCAAAAACCACAAAAAAAACTCTTACAGATGAGTTGTCATGGCTATTATGTGGATTTGTGGTTGTTTTGTGGGTATGGGTTTGGATTAACTAGGTATTAAGGCTTGTTTGGAGTTGAACTTGGCTTTGGGGTTTTCTAGAAATTATGGGTATTTTTACTGGGTTAATTTGAGGTATTGTTTCTTGAAATTAGGTTGTTAGTGAGCTTGAATTTTGGTTATAATTCTCTGTTGTGTATCAACTGTTGTTGAATTTCTACTTCTTATTACTCTATGATCCTAATGGCTTAATAAGGTTGAAATTGATGTATGAATTGCTTGTGTGAATTACTTGTTGTTGTCAAATTTGCTTGAAATTTTATTGCCAATTGCTTATTGATTGCCCAAAATTGTTTATTACTTGCCTCCTATGTGCAGTTAAAGATGAATGATGAAGATGCAAAGGGAAGGAAAAAGAATAGATTTTCATTTTAAATGTAGGAATTTGGGACTTCATTTATTTTACTTTTATCTTTTTTTTTAATTTTATCTTACAACCAATCATAAAATGCCATGTGTATACTTAATGGTGGGAAAAAGTTAGCCAATAGCCAAATTGGCCATGTCATGCACCACGGTGGAAAAAAATTCACTACATCATGTGCCACATATGTCAACTTAACAACTTAAACAGTTTCCATCTAATTTAAGGCTTATTTGATCGAAAATAAAAATATAAGGGTTTTATTGATTACAATAAAACATTAAGGGCTTATTTGATAAATGAATTATTATTTGGGAGCCTTTTTTACCTTTAAGTCTTCTTATTTATATGGAAAGTATTCAACCACATTAGGTTCAATGCTTGAAATGCATATTTTCATAATTAATCCTATGCTAGCTGAATGCACCAAAACAAAGACGACCATTTCTCTTGTTTTTATTTCTTTTATTTTTTGTCATACAAAAATCGAATGAAGTCCAACTTAATTTGTTCTAATTTTAATATTTCACAATTGTCTTATTGTGTGTGATTTATTAGGCTCTTTAGCATGTTGGCAATAAATATAATCATTTTTAGCCTTTACATTCGGCTATAGATGAATCAAAATTTTTTGACTTCATCACAATTCTCCAACTAGCCAATCTTATATTTATAGATCATAATCAATACTAGTTTCATTACCATGATTCTCAATTGCTAAAGAAAAGTCAGTATGGCTTGATAACTTATCCATGAATGGTCTTAGTGTATAATTAACATCATTTCATCATTTAGTATCTCGGCTTGAACATTAAATATGGTTTAGTGTCTATTCAATCTTGTTCAACAATATTAAGTCTTGTCCTTAACATTAATTCACAAGTAAACTCTAGAACAATTTTAAATTACTTCACTTTGGCAAAAAATTTCTCAAGTTCATTCAATAAAAACTAGTTGAGATACTATATTGATCACATAAGGTGATGAGTTCCATCTTGATTACTTCATACATCTTCATAAGCCTCATGTTATATCCAACAATACTCGACTGAAGCATTTTTGGTTAGAACTATAAGTAAAGTAAAGTTAAAGTATAACATTTATCATATAAGATTATAAGTAATTTTAAATCAAAGAATCACTTATACAACCATCACATGAGAATTTAGCTATAGACACTATGTGAACTACCATATAACATTCTTATCTTGGGTCATATTCAATGAACTTGTTCTTGTAAAAAGCGCTCACATGTTAGCTTAAGTTTACCCAAACTTCAACATATGAGATCGATTGCTCGCTTCATAACTAAGTCCCTATTTAGATTTCACCGCACTTCTGGTGTGATGCGATTAAGCTGACCACACCACCAGTTGAATCAAATGCCAACTCCAGTGAGGTCAAGTCAACATAAGTATCTCATTAAATTTTTTTTCAGTCACGGTAATAATAACTTTTTTTTTCAATAACAACTATACTAATTTTTATTATTGTTTTCAATCTCACCGCAATCAATCTCACCGCCCATCCAAATGAAGCCTAAGAGTATAACTATGTGCTGGTCTCAATAGCTTTTATCAATGTCTTTTCTTAACAAAGCATCGAGTATGAACAATTTAAGAATAATGCTTTATTGCTATGACGACCTCATAATTACAATTTTATTGTAATTCTCTTACAAAGTATATTTATTCAAAGGACTTTATCTATCAGAATTAAGTAGTATCAATTATGTGTATACAATCTTATAAATAAAGAATGCCTTTGATAATAATAGAAATGCGTAATATGACATGTATTACATAGCTAATCCAATTAGTCATAGGGCATATTACCAACAATTAAAAGACTAAAAATTTATCAAAATCATAGAAATGATATTAATAAAACCACATATATTATATTGGCTATCATGAGTTTTAAGTTTCTAAAGCAAAACTAAAATGATACTTTTGTTCTTATTTCGTTTTATAAGATTAAGAATGGTTCTTTAAAAAGAAAAAAGCACAAAAAATAAAATGTCATAATAGCCGAAAGATAGAATAGGATAGAGACAAAGACACTTGTCATATTCTATATATAAATATGTATTTATTGCAAAGTATAAAAAATTCGAAAGCATTTTAAATGCAGTTCTTTTCATTATGATTTTTTAATTGTTTAATTGTAATAAAAAATCATGTAAAAATTTATCACTTATAAATATAGGTTTTATATAAAATATTAATGACTTTTAAATAAATTTAAATTATAATTAATTATTATAGAATAATTGTAAATGATATGTTAAATAAAATATTATGATCGTCGCGATTTAATTACATGAGATTGAGGGCAAGATAAATGACCGGAGCAAAAAAAAAAAAAAAAATCACTTTCTGAATTAGTAGTAGCAGGAATATAGTCTATGATTTTTGTAAGAACGGGAAATAAGGATCAAACTAAAAAATGGTAGGTAGGAGCAGCAAAAGCAAAACCATGGCTGCGACTTGTGCATGTGTTTTGTTTTGGTCCTGATCAACCGTTGAAGTTAAGAAATGATAAAAGCTGATAAATTGTGCATTTCCTTTTCATCACATTAAATGCCACTGTCCTACATTTTAAGGATTACTTATTTATTTACCACGTAAATGAGTGACTTAATTTTTTTTAGACACTATCATTTTGTAAGTTTTAAGGGATACGTATACACCTTCTAGTATCATTTTTTCATTCAAAATGTCGATTCATCTTTGCGATTATTGACCACAAACCCAAAATAAATAGTAACAGTATAATTTTAAGAAAAATTCTCTCATTTATCTTTCAATCGAATTTTAAATTCTATCACTTAATTTATAAAATGATACATATTCATAAAATGTATTTAAAGTAATTAAAAAAATTAATATAACAATAAATTTTTTAATCATGTTTCCATAGTTTAAAAACTTTCTGTGTGATGTAAAAAATAATAATAATAAACAAAACAAAACAAAAAACCAAAAATAAACTCTTATTTTAGTCTTTGAGACATTAATGGTCATGAAACGCCCACGATCCGACAGCCATTTTATACCAACTATTGATTGGAAAAAGCAGACCTAACAAACAGAAGCTATATTCAGCAAAAAAAAAAGTTCAAAATTGATAAATTGAATCTTAGGCTCTTTAAGCTGTTTTGTAAAAGTTGATTGGATTCTCATAGCTAGGTAGGTTATATAATGTAGGAGCTGTAAAATATTGTTTATGCCATTGTCAGCATGAATATATATAAACCAGCTCCTTCCAGTTTAAGCTAAAATGGAAATCAAGACTGACCTTTTAACAATACCTTCTCCAGGATGGAAGAAAAGATTATTCCCTGCCATATGAAGTAAAGTAAGATCTGACAAGTTTAATTATTAATTATCTCAATGACACCTTCACTTCATACCAAGCAGGTTAACTGCTCAAAGCACAGTTCACAATCACATCGTTGGATTGGTTCATATTTAGTTACAAGAACAAAATCTTCTTGCAAAGAAAAAGGGAAAATAATGAAACAGAATCAAAGGAAAAGATGTAATTCCAAGTTACATGTAAAGCAGGCACAAACAGTAAAGTTGTTGCAAACATGCTTCACCCTCAGCATCCAAACCTCCCCCATTGACAAAGAAAAGCATCTCATACTCCACTTCTTAAGCTATAGTTCCCCCCCCAATGCATCATTCAGCTACAATCTTCTCTAACCCACCAAAACCATGTCTACAGAATTCATCTCTATTTCATCCTCAATATTGGTCAGGGTGATTTCGTTTTTTCTGGCCTCAACACTGGTCCGAGGTATGAAAATGATTGTGAATATTAATTCCACTTGCAAAAATTTTGTATCTACGTAGATGTATATCTAATTTGGTATGGTTATCTTTTTATCTAGGAGTCCAAGGGACAATTGGGGTGAACTATGGCACCGTTGCAAACAACCTCCCTGAACCAGATCTAGTGGCACATTTCCTTTTAGAGTCCACTGTTATCAACCGCGTTAGGCTCTTTGACGCGAACCCAGACATTCTAAAAGCGTTTGCCCACACTGGCATCGCTGTCACAGTTACTGTTCCAAATGATCAAATTCCTCACCTTACCAAGCTAAATTTTGCCCAACAATGGGTGGAAGACAATATCCAACCTCACACACCAGCAACCAATATAGTCCGTGTTTTAGTAGGCAATGAAGTAATATCAACAGCAAATAAATTGTTAATAGGAAGTCTAGTTCCAGCCATGCAAACTCTCCACACAGCCCTTGTTGAAGCTTCATTAGACCGTAGAATCCAAGTCTCGACACCTCACTCTTTAGGCATTCTCTCAAATTCAAGCCCACCATCCACTGGAAAGTTCCGACAAGGCTATGATTCTCATGTTCTCAAACCATTACTTAGCTTCCTTAGAGCTACCAATTCACCCTTTATGGTAAACCCGTATCCATTTTTTGGCTGCTCATCTGATACCCTTGATTATGCCCTGTTTCGGCCTAATGCAGGAGTGTTCGATGAAAACACAGAACAGCTTTACACAAATATGTTAGATGCTCAATTAGATGCGGTCTTTTCAGCCATGAAACTCCTAGGATTTAATGATCTTGAGATTGTCATAGCTGAAACTGGCTGGCCATCCATAGGGGATTCAACCCAAGTTGGTGTTGATGCAAAGAGTGCAGCTGAATACAACGGCAATCTGATGCAGCACGTAACATCAGGTGTTGGCACACCCCTAATGCCAAACCGGACTTTTGAGACGTACATTTTTGCACTTTTCAATGAAGATCTTAAGCCAGGGCCAACATGTGAGAGGAATTTCGGGCTCTTCCGACCAGATATGACACCCGTTTACGACATCGGGATCCTAAGGCCCACGGTAGCCGCTGCCGCCAATATTCACCATGTTACATGTTTGTTAGTCATTTCAGTCGGCCTTCTAATAATTAATAATCATGGTGAAAATATATTTCATCAATCATTTGATAACATCGATCCATCATAATGATTAATGAATTTTATTGATTCTTGTGGTTGGCTTTGGCAGGCTAGATCATCCATTCCTAACAACCCAACTCCAGTGCCAACGGCTGCACCGTTGCATCCAATGCCGAAGTCTAAGGGAAAACAGTGGTGTCTTCCCGAAACAAGCGCGGATGAAAATGCTTTGCAAAGGAATATCGATTATGTTTGTGGTTTGGGTTTGGACTGTGGGCCGATTCAAGAAGATGGCGCTTGCTTCCTTCCCAACACAGTTCGAGCCCACGCAGCTTTTGCCATGAACGCTTACTATCAATCCACCGAAAAGATCGAGTGCGATTGTGATTTTGATCAAACTGGAGCCATCACAGACGTTGATCCAAGTAAATAAAATCACGACGCCTCTTCTCAATTCCATGATCTAATCAATTCATTTCTATTTCTTTCTGATATATATGTATATATATAGCTGCAGATCCATCTTTGTCAAACGTTGTTTGATCCTTTTTTTCTGTTTTTTTCGTGTTGCAGGCTATGGAAAGTGCCAATACTGACACTTGGTTGTAATCAAACAACCAGGACATACAACTACCAGAGATCGATTCAGTTTCAATTTTGTTTTCGCTTTTGCTATTTTCACTAGTTTCTTTGCAGACAATGAAACAAAAAGTAGGAGAATGTAATATATATGTCCAGGCATATATAGACAGACGCGCATGGTCATGTCGTAATGGTATTCATGGCGAAATACATTCCAGGACATATATAAACAATTTATCTTACTAGCTCAAAGATGTACTGGTAAATCTATTTGCTTAAATTAAGATTCTATTTTGTGCTCTGTCTTTTTAGGATAAAACTAAATTTTCATTATCCATAAAAGCAAGCAAGAGAAAACCTACTACACAGTTTACAATCCATATAGCATAGCAAATCTTGTTTAATTAACCTTAAAAAATGTGTTTTGATATCTCTTTATGCTTCAATAGTGGTTGCTAAGAAGTAAAAAGGAAATATCATGTTAATATATACGTAATATAACTCTTTCATGAATCTGTCTTTCACTTGAATAATTTCTTTCTTTCCAGCATAGAATCTATTCTTGCTTGCGGTTTCTTCAAGAATAAAAAGCTTTAACCAATCCAGTAAAAAGGGTAGTATAAAGAGTTTGCTTTTCAAATTTGGAATCGACAAAAAGTGGGTTAAAACTGGATTTAGAAAAATAATTTCTTAGCTTAGTTTATGCAATCTTAAAAATTAATCTTCACAATATCAGTCACCTTTTTTACTATTTTCAAATAATTATCTTTTTTTATACTAAAAAATTAAAAAGATTTTCTTTCAACTCTTGGACTCATACGTATAAATAAATAAATTTAATAATTTAAAATTTAATATAGATATAGTAAGAAAATGATAAAAAAAAAATACACGAATATGATATAATCTAAAATTTTAATAAAAATCACATATGATTTTACAAAAACTATATATATATATATTACATTTTCAATATCGTCATAAATCGTAAAAAATAATTTTCATAAAAGATACACTATAAATTCATAAATTATCAAGAAAAATACATCTATATCTACAAATAAAATAAATGTTGGGCCAAATAGAAACTGCGGCTCGGCCCCACGTCTCAAACCCACCTTAATCGGGCTATTAATGTAGCACACCCACTCTCACAAATTTCATAACTATTCATATGTAGACGCAAGTTTTTTTCTTTTCCTTTTTACACATTGGACTTTGTTACATTGGAACAACCAGACTGTCCTCGTCATTCATATGTAGTAAAGACTTTAAACTATGATCTTAAAATTTCTCTTCTTCCTATTTTGTCTATGTCTAGGGTCGGTATCTCTTTGTACCAAAAACTCCAAAAGGGGTAATTGGTAACACAAGCCTTCAAGTTATTGAGATTTAAGTAAATTCAATGAACATGAATAAAAGCAATATCACGTTCTCAACATGTGCTACACTAACAGAAACGATCCTGTTCTAGAATCAAGACAAATCGAGGTCGACAACTACCAACACGCCACCTGTCTCACAAAAAGAAATATCCATAGTCCGCCAAACACCTGACCCCATTTATGGTGTGCGCACTACACCCCCTGGTCGATGGTTCCTTATTGCTATTAATAGGCTCCTCCGGCGCCAAAGTTTCTCCCTCTAAACATTACTCATAATATATTAAAAAAATTAAAGAAGAAAAAATTCTTCAGAACATGATCCATTTCTAGAGGTTTTTTACTCTTTCGTCCGTACGTTCAGTCTCAAATTTTAGGGTTAGGTTTTTATTTTTTAACTTTAAAAGAAAATTCTGGGTTGAATCCATGGCTGACTGGCAACAGCTTTTGCAATCGATATTTATAGGTCTTCTCTTTTCTTATCTTCTCGCTAAGCTAATCTCCTTAGTTGTTTCTTTCAAAGATGAAAACCTTTCAATTACCCGAGCCCGAACCACTCATGTCCAAGCCCACAACAAACTCGACTCGGGTCCCAGATCCGACCCGCATGCCCGTGCTGATCACGTGGGAACACACGAAGCGGATTCGTTGATAGCCGAAGTGGGTAGTGTTAGGAACGAGAGTGATGATGGTGATGACGATGATGATTGGGAAGGCGTGGAGTGTACGGAGCTGGATGAGGCGTTTAGTGCAGCGACGGCGTTCGTGGCAGCGGCAGCGGCGGATCGGTTGTCGCCGAAGGTGTCGAGTGAGGTGCAGTTGCAGCTTTACGGTTTGTACAAGATTGCCACCGAAGGACCTTGCACTGCTCCTCAGCCTTCCGCTTTGAAAATGACGGCTCGTGCTAAGTGGTTAGGCGGTGCTTATTGACGTTTTCTGTTCATTTCTGAATTTCTTCTTGTATTTTGTTTGTTTGTGGGTTGTTTCTTATTTTGAGAAATGTGAATCCTACAGCCGAGCTTGCTGAGCATAATTTAATTTATTCGCTGGCGACAACAGATTCTTTTATAAATGTTTTGACTATCTTGAAAATTTATTCTTTGCTCTTATTATGATTCAAAGTTCAAGTTGTTTTCCTGAAGCTCTTATTATTAACATGATTTCTCAGTCAATCGGCTGAAGTTTGATTTGTCCCTATTCTATTTTATTTCTTTATTACTCCCTCATTGTGAGGCACTGCCATTTAGCTTGAAAATTCTTTCTACTGCATAATTCAACACCTGAATGATTGAAAATTGCTTGAGAATTTACAGCCCTGGTTATTGAATTTGGATTTTTTGTTTTTCATAGGCAAGCATGGCACAAATTGGGTGCCATGCCTCCAGAAGAAGCAATGCAGAAATACATTGATATCGTTACAGAGCTTTATCCAACCTGGGCTGCTGGTTCAGCTATGGTGCGATTTTAATCTTATTGGGCTGCTATCTTGCCTTTTCTTTGATACTGTTTTATTTGCATCTACTTTCTTTTCATTTTTCTCCTGTTTTGCTGATATACTTTGTTTCCGAACCTTGTTCCTGGAAGAGAAAAGGTGGGGCTGATGATGCTGCAAGTAAAGATGCCAAAGGACCAATGGGACCAGTTTTCAGCTCTTTTGTATATGAAGAGGAATCTGGAAATGAGTTGTAAGGTTTTTAGAACTTCATCATACAGGTCTTTCTAAATGCTATTCATTTGGTCTATTTAACAAGGTAGGAGATAATTAATTGAATTGTTCTTTGGGTACATTTCGATGTATACTGGATCTTTTGTTGTATATTTGAATGTGATTAGTCTGCATTTATTGGCATGGCTAATGATTTATTATGCACTATTTGCTTGAGAAAAATCTAGGTCTTTGAAATTGGTATTGCTTATGATCACATTATTGGTTTTAATGTGCAAGATTATCCTGTAACGCTTCAATAGATAAATTTCTTACTTTCTTGAGGTATAAGTCAACTATATTCGATTTTTTTCTTGTTCTGCTATTTTGTGGATCTACTTATCACTTGCCTATCCAATCCCAATATAATTACGGATCCATCAAACAATTTTTTAACCCTCCACAATTAAAGGCCATTTAACTGTGGACTACAAATAAGGAATGTGCCTGTTACAGGATTTATGATTTATATTTTCAAGTCTGGTTTTGGGCATAAATCAGTTAGTTCATTTTACTGGTTGCTCTATGTGTTATGGGTTTTTTTTTTCTTATTTTTTTGCTGTTTGTAGGGAAATCTAAATTCTTTTTCACAAGCATTGATGTTGCCTTAGTATAATATAAGTTGCTATGTGCTAATGCTGATTGTTGCTATGGTTGCTCTTTTTTGGGCTATGACTTTGGTTCCTCTTAGCATGGCTTATAGTGATTCATTAATGAACTATGTGCCGATTGTCAATAAGCTTGTTCTTTTTGGACTATGAAATAGTTCCTTTTAGGACAAAGGAGTGTATGTTTATAAGTGATTCATTGATGAGTTAAACTTCCCTTCTGTCATTTAAACAAAAAAAATTCTATTTTACTTCATATCTGAGGCTATTGTTTCTAATAACTAAGAATCTTGATTGGAATGCAAAAGGATAATTATTTTTCAGGAAAATGGATGCTATTCATGCTTTTGCTAGAGAAGGAGAACTGGATAATTTGCTTAAATGCATTGAAAGTGGTGTTTCTGTGAATTTGCTAGGTTTGTTTCTATTTAGTTGTTTTTTTCTTTTAAAGAAAGAACTAGTCTTGCATACCAGGGATTTGAAAGACTTGCTTGACCTTATGAGCTATTTGCTTATAATGCTTGCAGACAGTGAAGGCAGGACCCCATTGCATTGGGCTGTAGACCGTGGCCATCTTAAAATTACAGAAGCGCTTGTTAGCAGGAATGCTGATGTGAATGCTAAGGTGGTTAATGTTATTGCTGTCACTGTTTTATTGGTTTTCGCTCTCTGATATTTTTCTGTGTGCTGAAACAATTCATTATGTCTGGATGGATCTGTTATGCATGAAAAAATATGAAATAATTGTCTCTGCAATGTTTGTTTTCAAAAGAGTACCAGAGTATATGAGAAAAAGGGTGGTTCATGCAACAGCTTGAACCTATTTAGTGGTGCTGAATATTCTTCATGTATTTTTCTCTTTCTATTTCTGGTCTTGTCGTCAGTATTGTTAAATTTTATTTTGTCTATTGGAAGGACAATGAAGGCCAAACGCCCTTGCATTATGCTGTTGTGTGCGAGAGGGAAGATATAGCTGAATATCTTGTGAAGCAAAATGCTGACAAAGATATGAAGGATGTTGATGGCAAATCTCCGGTTGACCTGTGTGAGTCCCATTGGCCTTGGTTGCAACATGAAGGCAAAGCTGATTGACCTATAGTTTATTCTGAGTTTGCTTTAGCTAAAGTAGTTATTGACAAATCTCTCATAGATGTATATGGCTATAAGTTTAGTAACGTTTTGTTATTTTTCCATAGTTGTATGCTGATGTGGGTTACTAGTCATTGCCCTAGTCTTCGTAATTACTATTCCCTCTACCTCCATAATTAGATTGAAGAGAATACGAAGGTAGTTTTGGCCACTGAAATGGAATTCAAATGCTTTCTTTTGTAAAAGTTGAGAGCTTGGATAGATGCCTAGCTGGAGGTTATTGTGGTATCCAGATGTTTCCTTTCAAATGGAATATAATATTTGTATTAGATGTACTGTTATGTTATGCGCAGAGTCATGAACTTATGGAGAAGCAATAAATCTCATATAGGTTGTAAAATAGAGTTGGTATTGAGATATAACTATTCAAATCACGTTCAATTTGTCAAGTGTTTTTTATAAAATAAAATCATGCGTTTCAAAAAAATTAAAACAGATAATATTTCACAAATTGATATTGATCAAGACATTTAGTATCCCAAGCGGCTCTGAAGTACCAATAATATGTCACCAAGGATGATTGGCTTTCATTAGAGTGGGGAGAAAGATTTATAATTTTAGAAAAGAGTCGTATTTGAGGAAGAAGTAAAGTTTTAAATTTGATATTTGATAATTATTATAATTATTAGCCATAGTTTTAATATTTTTCTTGGTCTTGGTACTGGTATCAATTCAAGAAATCTCACGATAGTTGATAGTTGTGTATTAGAGTTGGTCTTTGAATATAAATATTCATATCACTTTCAATTTGTAAGATTTTATTTTTGCAAATAAAATCATAAGGTTTAGTGGGATTAAAGCAAATAACATTTTATAAGTTAGTGTGTACTGCTGCGGAACGTGAGCAGCGAACCTAACTGGTTCTCTCAGATCAAATGTAAGCAATAGCTCACGAGGCCGCATATGAGGAGCATGATGCAACCGATAACCAACCTCTGCCTCTTCCGCTTGACAGCTAGGCTGCTCCTTTGAGAAAAACCGTGAGAATCAATTCTGTCTGGTGCATGTAGGTAAGAAGCATGTAGGTCATAGGAAGCTTGAACTCTAGGATAACTGACCTACTACAAAGCATAATTCACCAAAGTCCCTGTCAAAAATTCTCTCAAATATCTCTCCCTCCTGAGTCAGAATAGCGTAGGAACTAGGAATCATGCAACAATAACGATGATAGTTCATTCTCCAGGTCATTTAAAAAAACAAAGCATATAGCAATGTTATATTGGTACAAGAGACTGTTCTCAATTCTCAATTTAGTATCTCACTATACATATATTCTATTCTACCAAAAGATAAACAAGGAAATTGGAACCAAGCAGTGGAGCAATCCTCTCCCCAGCTCAGTCTCTTAGTACCCCTTCCCCATCCCGTCCCTAGTCTTGGCACGGTCGATGGTGATGTAGCTACTAGTTCCTAGTTTTTCAACCAAAGATTTTAGAGATATTATCATGCGAGGCATCTTCTGCGTCGGATCCACTTTCAGGGGCTCCTCCTGTCCTCCTTTTCTGCATTCTGATTGTCATCCAACCACTCCAGAGCATCTTTAACTGCTGATCCTTCTTCTCCTTCTCTTCAGACTCCAACTTGTTAGCAAGCTTGTCTGTCATTGATCTGGTTCTTCATATTGTAAACATAGTTCTCCAAGCTGTTTCTAGCATCGATCTTCTCCTTCACCTTCTTGTCTTCCTCGGCAAACTCCTCTGCTTCCTGAACCATAAGGTCAATCTCTTCTTGGCTTAACCTTCCTTTGTCATTGGTAATTGTAATCTTCTCAGACCGCCCTAAGGCCTTGTCTTCTGCCTTCACGTTTAATATACCATTGGCATCTACCTGCTATGTAACTTCAATCTGGGGAGTTCCTCTGTAGAAACAAACTATTTAGGCATGCGTTTTCATGTGATTGTTATAAAACAGATCGAGGATAGCCATGATAAATCAATCACCTTGGTCCTTGGAGCTGGAGCAATATCAGATAAATCGAATTTCCCAAGCATCCTGAAGTCCTTTGTGAGACTCCTTTCACCTTCAAAAACCTGTCTTTTGACAATCGATTTACAGAGTGACTTCGAGTTAAATGCATGTTTGCACAATTTATTGATTTTGATTGATAATGGAGTCAATGTCATAATTTTCATTAAGCTGATGGATGGAACACTCAATCGGCCAATCCAGAAGAGGTATATTACTTGTATGGATACAGTTGTCTGCCGATCCTGGTAGGTGGTGAAAACCTGAGATTATTTGGTTGGAATAACCGTGTTTCTAAGAATTAACTTGGTCATCAGTCATCACTCCCCCAACAGTTTCAATTCCAAGAGTCAGTGGTGCCACATCCTGTAAAAGTATATCTGAAGAATATTTGATGACAAAAACATTAGTCCTCAATTTTTAGAACCTGCTTGATCTTCTGAAAGGCGAAATAAATGTCAATTGAAAATTTGGAAAGAGAATTTTTTAACTTTGGTTTCATCACCTCCTTCTCCACTTAAGATACTTCCATGTACAGCAGCACCGTAAGCGACAACCTCATCTGGGTTCACACCCGTGTTAGGTTCCTTCCCATCAAAGAATTCCTTAAGAAGCTGTTGAACATTCGGAATTCTAGTGCTTCCACCAACAAGTACAATTTCATCAATCTGGTGCTTCTGCCATTAACCGTCCTCCGTGGCTTTCAACACGTCCCATAGTCCTCAAGAACAGATAGTTATTCAACTCTTCGAATTGAGCTCTAATAAGTGGTTCCGAGAAATCTGTTCCATCAAACAAAGATTCAATCTCCACATGGACCTGATGCTGGCTGTTTAGTGCTCTCTTTGCTCGCTCACAATGTCTCCTCAGCTTCCCAAGAGCTCTGTTGTCCTTATTGATGTCCTTTCCATGCTTTTTCTTGATCAATTTTAATGAAGTATTACATGATGCTCTGATCAAAATCCTCTGCTGAAGAAAATATTAGTCTGCATTAGTCCTATTTCTTTGTCGAATTTTCAACTAAGAAGTTAAGAGCCAAAGCGACATGATAGCTAGCAAGAAGCTTACTCCCAAAATGAGTATCTCCATTAGTGGCAAGAACTTCAAAAACACCATTATCGATGATCAAGATACAGACATCAAATGTTCCACCACCAAGGTCAAAGACAAGAATGTTCTTTTAACCACCCTTGTTGTCCAAACCATAGGTAATGGCTGCTGAAGTTGGTTCATTGATTATTCTAGCAACATTCAGTCCAGCTATCGTGCCTGCATCCTCTGTAGCTTGCCTTTGTGCGTCATTGAAGTAAGCTGTTGATCTTAATACATGCAAAATTCATGTCAACCTTTAGGAACACAAACCATAGTTTACTCTGTAAGTCAACAAGATATGACTTCTGCAAATGAAAAACAATTGAAAGATAACCTAATAATATAATCATCAAAATCAAATATCAAAATAATATAGAAAACTTACTTAATTTGCAAAAGCACATCGAAAGCAATGCTGACTTGATTTATTGGTTGGGGATAAGATCACGTATTCGGAAATTGTTCACTATCCACAACGTAAGTCCTTAAACACCGAAACAATATATTCCTTAGAGAGTTTCCTTCTCTATGTCAATCTCTCTCTTTTCTTCTGTTGTTCTCTATGTGATTCATCATATAGTCCCACATGAATGAGACTTATCTCAGACTTGATTTGTAATATTCATCTTTTTAATTATAGTCGAATTCCATAATAAATATTGAGAAAGGAAGAGATCGGCCTCTCCTCTCTAGAACATTTTCTTCATCTTTTCTTCTATGGCTGAATGCCATGAATTAATTAAGAGAGAGAGATCCCATTATGTTTTCATTGATACGTAATACAAAACCAAATTATCATTAACTATCTATGGTAGTTTTGTTTTAGCCTTGGTATTAAGATACCAATAACTACCTTTTTGATAGTTATCTAACATGTAGAATTTTGCCCTTCCATTATGGGCAACAATTTCCTACATCTCCCACTTACACAAAATGGGTGGCAAACTTTTAATGATCTGGAGAACGTTTTCTATACTCTTTGCAACAAGTTCATACAAGGAAATAAGTTGTACGATAAGCATACTTCGAAAACTTAGTTGTTGTATGACTGTTAGGTGCATATAGTAGCTCAAAATCACGATTTTGTCATTTATGTAATTCTTAGGTATGTACAGTAACTCTCAAATACAAATAAAGTAAGTATACAGCACCTTAGATCCATTCAATCACATTTCAAGTTCCTCACGATCTTTTTTTTTTTATCATATTGCATGATATATTTGTGTATTCACAATTATGTTTAACATTTTAAACACAATTAGCTAGCCTGTGAATACAACCAATTATGACACCAGAATAATCTTTCTTTTCTCTAGAATCATTCCATTTCAAATCAATTTTTCTCTAGATATGTCCCATTAGATTGAATCATCTATGTTCATTGGCAACATTCTAAGATAGCTAACATTGAACTGAAACTTTAAGAAACACTCAAAAGTCCTTAAGAGTACTAAATATGAAAACATCTTATCTCAAGGGTCTCAAATAACAAGAAACAAAAATCTATTCTTCCATTACCCTTGTTAGTCACATAATGCACATGTCGTATGAAATACATGTTATGGTATTACTCTCTTTTTCCCTTAAAGCATCTGTCTTTATTATTAGATATCAATACTGTACAAATGATAGTTCACATACTCTCAATATCTAACTTGAGTCCATAACTCTACTTGATTTCACATAATCAATAGGACTTTCACCTAGTATTTAAGATATACAAAGTGAACTTTAAGATTATTCTTTTCGTTGGTCACAAATTTCAATATCATGTTACCTCATTTTGATCCTTTATCAATGTGATTCCATTTTAAACTTGGGCTCTCGATCTATAACTTAAAACTAATCTCATCTTCATAATGTCAAACCATTGAGACAATTGCCTATATGAAAAGGTCAATAATTTGTTCGACATGCTTTTCAAATCATATCGTATATGTATATATATATATATATATATATTTATACATGTGTGCATACTTCACAAAACAAAGTACTAAACTTTAATAACATTAATCACATTCAATACAAGTCAACTTAAATGGGAAAAAAACATAGATCGTTCACATGTAAGATCTTAATCAATATATCCTAAACTACGTAACTCAAAGATTTCATGTAGCTATGAAATATATCTCTAGGCATGGGCTTTGTTAATGGATTTGCACTTATCTTTTGCGTAAAAAGTACTACTATTGACTTTTTTTTTTGTGCAACTATGTTTCTCACGAAATTATACTTGTTATTTTTGTGTTTGGTCTTTAGGATCTGTTTATGAATGCGATTGTTACTTGATTATTGCAATTCATTAATATTGAATTAGACTTATCTTTCTCAATTCCCAAAT